GGGCACAGAGGTCCGGGCCCCAGGGCGCACCCCCTCTAGGCCAAAGCCCGACAGGCCCAGAGGCCCCGAGCCCCAACAGGCAGTCACCAGGCCAGGCCGGCACACACCCCAGCGCCCAGCCCCAGACCCCGGGAACTCCCAGCACGCCGGCGGCCAGCCGCACACCCCACCGGGGGGCCGAGTAGCAGCGGACCCCCACTGGATTCATTTTCAATGAAACTCATGTATTAATCACTGGACAAAAAAAAAATAGCAGTACAATTTACTAAAACTTAGCTAAAGTTTAATGTGGTAGTAGCTAAGAGTCACCCCTAATCCACAATCTCACAATCTCCCATATGTTAAAAGTTTGACCAAACATCTTCTTTCATAAGATGATTTAATATTTTAGTTTCTGCCCTGGAGAGACAGAGGCTCTAAAAGAGTCATTACCTAAAAACACATTCATTATTGTGATCAGACATCAAAATAAAAACAATTTACACTACAAAGGTAGTATTTAGTTGTCAGCTATTAGTCATATACTAACATACTGTTTTGTTTGTTTTTATTTTCAAATCTGACCCTTCTTTTTTATGTGATCCTAAATGACATCAGACGTTTTTATGTCACATTTCATCCAAACTTTACATCACTGAGGTGGAGGTATGTRGATAGATCCAGATATTGATATTATTGATATCAAATTTAAAGCTTGGACCTCCACTCATCTTCATCTACAGAGCAGAAATCCATCTGCTCCTTCTTTTTAAAACTTTATAGATTAGTCTTATCCTGGATGAGTGACAGTTCACGCCATCATGTTTGTACACCAGGATCCAGGGGTGTAAATCACCAGCTTTATCACAATATGATATCATATTGACTTGTTTGGATCACGATGCGGTGTTTCTCCATCACAAAGCCTGTCATGATGCCATTTAGATTCAGTTCACATTTTGTTTTGTCTTGATGTAATTAAATCGTTTAGTTGATATATCGATGTGTTGTTGCAGCCCAGTTTGTTTCTACCTTCGGTACATCGTTCCCGTTCCAGAACTGTAATTCTGCACCTGGGTCAGCGTCAGGATCAAATGTAAACATTGTACAAAACAGGCATAATTTATTTGGCTCTGATTGCACTTCAGAATCAATCCACACATGCTAACATGCAGCATCCATGTTTACTTCTGTAAACAAGGCGTGCTGCATTTGGCATCACGTCTTCTTCTGCTCTTCGAACTATGGGCTGTTCACTGGAGTCTGATGGATCACACTTAAATTACAATGTGAACAACCATGCAACAATATATGTACATGAGCATTAAGACATACACTATAGCTTTAATTAGCTACAGCCTGGTCCAGTTCTTGTATATGTAGAACATTAATAAACAATGTTATGTAAAATTTACCACAATGTAACAGTCGGACGTGTTTGTTAGTAAAAATCCAAATTAATATTTCGTATTTGACTTGATTCTGTGTGAAGACCAGCAGATGAACCTGGTGAGTTTGGAGCTGCAGTGGAAAAAAAAAACATTTCACCACTGTGTGTATATATCATAACTTTGAGCTTAAACGGGAAAGAAGATCCTCTCATGCGTTTAGATTCCAAACTTTCCAAAACATTTTCTTCTGTTGGTTGGTCGTCAACATTTTTTCCACAGGATTTAACTTTTTAAAATACGAATATAAACGCTGGAAGCGYAGTGTGTTGTTTTACATCTCCCTGGATACAAGAGGTCTTCAAACTTCTTTTCTGTGTTTTGTAATTCAGCGCCAGTATTGTTTTTCCACCTCCTTCAGTTTTAGCTTCTTTTTGAGGGATGACGTTTTGAAATTCTTGGTCTGATTACTGGATTTGWGGTTTTATTCCAAATAATAAGAGAAGTTGATTTAGTTTTTTCTACTCTTGCTTTGTTTGTTCATAACTCGAAGATTTGGAGGTTGGGATTAAAACACATGACRTGGTAAATATTAACTAGTTGTTTTTAGGTTGAGCAGCTTCTCAGTGACATCATCGGAATTAAGGGTCTTCCCTTAATTTGATCCTTCAAGTTTGGACGATAGAAGCTCCATGACTTTGACTTTCTGCTGAAACTCCAAACAATTCAACCTCTATCGACATTAATGCTGGTTTATTTGCTTCCAGTCAGTTAATAGAAAAGACTGAATCCCCTTTTTTTTTGCAAGGTTTAATGAGAAAGCTGCATGTTTGTTTGTTTAATGGAAACCCAACAGTTGTCAGGTGTTGTGTTTTTGTCTGTAAGATGGAAAATATCTCATGAACCAGTGAACAAATTTTAGTGAAACACACTGGACGTGTGTCTATGACAGGGCTATTCAACTGGCGGCCCACGGGCCACATCCGGCCCGCGAGTGACCAAAGTTTGGCCCGCCAATTGGTTCATTCATCTCTTAAGCCCAAACCCTGGTTTTTTACTTGAATTACTCTTAAGTTCTTTTAGTTAGACATAAGCTGCATTTCCGTTGACCATGAAAATGCGCAAATTAGAATTTC